GAGCGACTTCGAGTAACAATGTTCTCACATACAGCGGGAAGGAAGCTTATACACACGAGCAAACATAGTGGAAAGGTAATAGGCTAGGTTGAGGGCCTCTACTGGGTAGTGCGTGGGTGTTAACATCAGTGGTCGGTAGCATACCATCGTCAGCACAAGCGCACTCTACCACCAGCGCGAGGGTACACGCCCGGTAGTGCCCTTCGCTGGGTAAATGGCGCAGCTTCAGCTTTGTGCTCGCACAAAATTACCATTTAGTTTATTGATATTTATCAATTTTGGCCTTTTGAGCATTTCATTTTGGATAAAAACCATTTTTTGCGATACTCCGAATAAATGACTCCTGAAGTTTTCTGAACGTCAAACTAGGGTAATCCTTGTAGTAATATAATTCGGTGGTTTAGATACGTTTTGCTGTTTCGCGAGTTATCAGCTCAGTGCAAGTACCTAAATGTGACAAATGCATACCACGTGATATGATCTCTACACAACGCTGTGAATATTTTAAGAATACTATGGTTTTCTTCCCCAGATCTTCCTTAGGAATTAATATCAAATCTGTGAACAAGAAGGTGGTTTTTCTTAGACGTTTTTGCAAATTTTCGCAATGTTTTTGGAATGAGGATTTTAGGTCTACGTTGAAAGCACCGATAACGGTTTTAACAGCATTGCTCGGCGGGCCTTTTATGTTGGCGATGCGCTTCTGACAGTAAATGATGAGAAATGCACATCTGTAAAGAAGGCAAGTAGACTTCTGTTGGATGCTCTCAAGACAAAAGGCATTGTAAGTGATGGACATTTTAAATTGTATCTTTTTTTTACAAAAACACTTTACAGGCCCGGGTTCTTGTAGAAAGACCTGTCGAGCCGGCTGCTGTCGCCTTCGTTCGAGCTGTATTGCTCGTAAACAAGGCGAATGTAATGGATCCCAAAATGCCTGACGATGTTCTGGCTATTTGCACGTTCGTTAGATTTATAACTCTGTGTACTTGATATTAGAATATTATGTTTTTTTTTCAGCGGAGAATTGAAGCGAATGCGGCAGCAACGCGTACGTCCAAAGAAATCTATTCTTAAAAAATCGCGTACAGAAAATACTCAAGAGAAAAATACGACTACGACCGAATCAACGAAACGTAAAGGGGATAGAAGGTTACTAGACTTGATATTATGTCCAATTTGGTTGCAGAGAAATACCCATTATAGCAGCAACAGTAAAATCACAATTTCCGAAACTGCCTTTGAGGTAGCCATTGGATCGGAGCTAGTCAACCCAGCACTTTTGGAGGTTTGCTTTATCTTGATTTCGGAAAAACTGTGCAAAAGTAGGTTTAAGCTATATTCGTAAGAAAATGGTCACCTAATGGTTTCTCATATTAGTAAATGATTTACATGACTTTAAAAAGTCTAGTTTCTGCAGCCTTTTCATTGTTCTCTCTGTACTTTCCTCATGAACTAATTAGGCTAGAATATTGTTTATGAGAAGTTCTGAAATGTGAAGTTTTTAAATCTGTTATTGCCAATTCCATTTTAAGTAAAATTTCGACTAAGAGATGACAACGAAAGAATTCTTCAAACTCATATGAGAGATGAGAAATAGTGTTATACATAATAGAAGCGTATGAACTGCTGTCAAAGAACAAATTTAGCACGTTCCCGAAAAGCGAAATGCCAAAGGAAGACGGGAAAGGAGCAAAGCAGAAGATTGAAGAGAAACCTCAACATTCATTCACTTCCTACTGTTCATCTTATCCAAATTAACTACGAACTAATTATCATAAAAGGCATTATCAATGAAGTGATTTTCATGCATATTTCCGTTGAGATAAACAAAAATTAACTA